TTAAGATTGCGAATCCGGCCAACTATTCGTGATTCTCAACATGTCATATCATAAGCAGAACTCTAGTAATTACGTAGCATGTTCACTCGTCTTATCCCAAGGGTTGTGGTAAATCGAATCTACTATTCTCGTGGATCCATCAGCCTATTCACTTCTTGACTTTTGGACTCAGTTCAGTCACTTCCTGAGTTCGTGGCGTGATGGTTACTCTTCTTCGGTGATAGAGTACTGAGTATATATTAAGATAGTGAAGAGAAACTCTTTCTCATACTATGGAAGGAACTTCTCGAACTCTTCCTTACACCATAAAATCAGTAGGCCTTCTGGGTAGTCATGCCTTTGGTAGTAATCCAAAGTTTATGGCTACAGAAGTAAATTTAGGGAGGGAACTGGTGAAGCGAAATATCAAACTTGTTTATGGAGGAGGTAGTGTCAGCCTTCAAGGGGTTGTTGCTTCAACTTTTTTTTCCAATGGTGGTTTTGTTCTGGGCTTTATACCTGGGTATATAGCTTTGTGACGGGTCTACAGTCATACATATGGTGTAGAGCACACAGTCTCGAGCAATTATTACAAGTATTTTGAGATGAACCATGCAGTGGAAGCTTTCATAGTACTTCCTGGAGGAGTCGAAACTATCGAGGGTCTGTTCACTCTAATCTCGTGGGCATCTGAAGGATTTCATAGCAAACCCATCGGTCTATTAAATATCGATGGTTATTTTCATAACCTTCTCAAGTTTCTGGACGATGCAATGAGACACAATTTCATGGCTCTCAACTAGAGAAAACTGTTCATTTCCTCTGTCTTCATTGATGAGTTGTTAAACAAACTAGAGTTTGCTATAACTCTTCCGGGACCTGGGGCAGGCTATGAAGAATTTGCTAATCCTATGGGACTAGACTTAGAGTTGCACCTGTAATCTTTTCCATGTATTTCAAGTTCTGATCGTGTTAATACAACATTGTTCATGGACATCATGAGATGGTTATACATATTGTTCTAAGCTGCATGGCCAGTGCAAATTAGAAAAATACTTATCTCCAACGTCAAAATGTATCATGGTAATATGTACTTTATTCCAATAAACCTTATTTCCTTTTAATTTACTATGTTTCCCTCGATCTTGTTAAAGACAAATATTATCCTCTCACCTAATTAGCTCTTTTTTTGTCCGAGTAAAATAGGTTTGAGACGAACGACGTCTCTCCCCTTAAGGGATATTGACGCGACTGAAGGACCTTTCATTCGGCGATACGTATCGTATCGACTGTTCGTTTGAGATTTGATAGTGACGTTTGTAATCATCGTTGATTCCGCCATCGCTTCCTTCCATTAATAGATGACTCGTCAAGTTTCCTTAACACACGAGGTAGTTCACCGCATCCTTCTGCCAACTCTCCCGCCTCTGCATTTTCTGGATCGACGCCATAGCTTATTACCTACACACAGTCACACAACAAAGACAACAGTGCGCTCAGCGAAACCGTTGAGTTGTACCACAACGTAGATTTCATAGAATAATTCATAAAACACATTCACATATATACACGTGAATCAATACCCTTTTTAAACCCTTTTATTTAAGAACATCCACTTTATTTATTATTTTGTGAAACCTTAAATTATAAAATTCTGACATTCTTCATTTTATGACAAGGTGTAGAAAAATCTCTTCGTTTAATCATACGTATCCAAAGTACTCATTAAAAACAAGGGTATTATTTCCAAATACACTTTATTCCTCAATTGACAAACCGTTATTTTTCCATCATTTCATATAGAAACAAATCAATATCTAATAATAACCCAATATCCTTAATTTAACCAATCACTATACAATAATAGTGACATCCCTTATTTTCAACCATTATTATTTTATCCTCACGCCATACTAAGTCGTTCTCCGCAGAGGTAGACTCGATAAGACTTCCCTTGTCTGAGTATGGGTCCAAGCGCCCTTCTCTTCAGGTTCAGAATTTGTTCTGTGGCCTTTCCCAGTCTGGGTATAATTACTCTTCTGGTTCCGGACGCACGGGTTGAGTGATCCCCGGGCGCCTGACCGGTTCTAGGACCTTATGTACGTACATACTCAACTCCTAATATCGCCCACATCTATACACTCAAATCCATACTATTTACCACTAGGAATAATCTAGATTCAAACTAACCAAAAATACCTTTTTGGTTATTAACGTCGTCATCAAAATCATTACTTCTACGAATTTGAGTATATAAAGTTTTACCATAAAGTCTCCAACACAATATCATCCAAAACATCTCTTTTAATCACTATAAATTATTTAATCATGTTCATGGATTGGATCATGTGAGGAACTCAAGTTTAAACCACATAATATAGTATTATAATTCTTCTAGTCCAACCCGTCCGATAATGTCGTTTGGTTGATAACACTTATTAAAAAACATGATTTGAAATGGAGTTCTTATAGTCCATAACATTCATTTTTAGTATTTTTTAGAAGTTAAAATATGGTTATAAGTAAATCAAACCAATTCCAAACTTTTATCATCCATACAATATCGAAAACTGCTTAAATTTGAGTTGGTATTAGAGTTTTTCTAGACAAAAACATTCATTTCGTTCTTGGAAGTTAAAATATGGTTTTAAACCAATTAAAAAAATACCAAATATTTATCATCCATACAACATCGAAAAACGGTTCAAATCTGAGTTGGAACGTCGGGTGATCGATCCTCGAAGGGGTGATCGAATCAATTCATGGTATTAGAGTTCTTTTAGTCAAAAACATCCATTTTTAGTGTTTTTGGAAGTTAAATTATGGTTATAAACCAATCAAACAAATACCAAAGATTTATTATCCATACGACATCGAAAAACGGTTCAAATCCGAGATGGAACGTCGGGCGATCGATCCCCGAAGGGGTGATCGATCCCCCGACTCTTAAAAATCTGCGTTTTAGTAAAATTTACCCACGGGGGTCGATCCAGAGGCATGGATCGATCCCCCGAACCTTAAAAACGGGTTTTGGGGCTCTTTTCCATCGTCGGGTGATCAATCTAGCTCTGGGGATCGATCCACTGACGGTTCCTATGCGTTTTTTGGTTCGTTTTAAACTACGGAATGGTTCCAAAAGTGTATATATTGAATATATATACTCTACTTTGAATCTCTAAGTTGTGTAGGAACATTTTAGGCACTCAAAGTTCGGGCATTCTCCGTCATCGACGATTCATGGGTTTCAAGTTAAGCGTTTTATCGAGATTATCGATATGACTAACATAAAATAACATGTAGGTATATGAAATCATGTATTATGAATAATTCTAAGGAATATAACGTCGGAACGAGTCTGGGATACAGACCTTAGAATTTGTAGGGGAAACAATGATCCTACACCTCATGTACGTTCAACGAACGGCCGTCACTATCTACAGACCTTAGAATTTATAGGGCAACATACTCACTTACCTAGAGTTTTCTTCCCAAAACTTCATTAATGGTGGAAAGAAGCTTGATGGAGAAGAAAAACTTGCAGGGATTATTTTGGGAGTGTGAATATTGGAGAGGGGGGTCTCCTCTTTAATGAAAATAAGGGATGCTCTTTGGGTCATCTCACACACACCCCACCACCACCATAGTCCAAAGGTGATGAGAAGGGAGGTGGGTGTGTGTTGAGTGGTTTGGGAACAATAGTTGTGGTGATTGATGAAGGAGTGGGAGTTGTGTTTTATGGGATTTGATGGAGAATCCCAGGATTTTATAAGGGGATCAATGTGGGATTGAGATAAAATCCTTGTCCCAAAAGAAATAGTTTATCTGTTTGAATTTCGGGTTATTTTCCAAACAAAGTCCAATTTTGAAACCGATCATATTTTTGGACTTGGAAAAATAAATGGAACTCAAATACGTAATCAAAATACTTTTCCTAATATTTTTATTTTCCAGGCCATCGGGGCCCACACAGTCAAAATCGGCGATTTACGTAGTTAATTCTTCTAGACCGGTTTTCGTGGCATTACAGAGACAATGCAGACATGATAGCCAAATTCAATTTATATTTGGCTGATTTCTTTCCTATGAAGTACTAGGAAACTCTTAAGTTTTTCCTTGGAATTTAGGTGCCTTGAAGCGCGTTTGGGATTTTCTTTTTCCAACGTAAGTATGCCTTATATATTATCACTGAGGCCGGTCTGCTGGGTGCCAAACTATTCATTGTGAGGCACACAGATGGAGCCAAATCATTATTTGGCTCATTCCCAAGCTTGGGTTCTTGCTGGTCTCGAACTTTCTTGACATCTGGTTTATCTATCACTCGGCCAGAGCTATCTTATGTTGTGCACACTTTGGCACAATTTTTGAAAGAACCAAGAGAGGATCGGTGGATTGCTACCCTTGGTGTTGTTCGGTACTTGAAAGGGTGTCCAAGACGGGTATTCTCCTCTCTACAGACAATACTCTACAGCTTACACGTTGGTGTAATTCTGATTGGGCTGCATGCCCTTTGACGAGACGATCTTTGACTGGGTGGTTTTTTCAACTTGGAAATTTGCTCATTTCTTGGAAAACGAAGAAGCAAACGATGGTTGCCCGTTCATCTGCTATAGAAGTTGAATATCGGGCTCTTGCTGCTATTACTTATGAGTTGAAGTGGTTGAACAGTCTCTTGCACGGTTTGGGAGTCTTGCACGATCATCCCATGACTATTCATTGTGAGAGCACAACTACACTTCATATTGCAGCTAATCCAGTCTTTCGCGAGCATACGAAGCGTATTGAAACCGACTGTCATTTTATTCGTGATGAGCTTCTTCATGATATCATTCGTACGCATCATGTTCCTACTACGCACCAGCTTGCAGATATTCATACAAAGGCATTGGTAAAATCTCGTCTAGAGTTTCTTATTCCCAAATTGGGCATTTCACTTTTACATTCCAAAGGGGGTGTTTAAGGAACGAATATATTTCCATATAATTCCGTATATATTATTATGGTAGTTTCTCGATGTATATTGATTTTCTTTCCTTTTGTACTTAGTGTCCATATAGAGTTTCTAGCATGTGGTATCCTATATATACACATCCTTTGTTCATATTGTGAATATCATACGCACCGACGGAGGAACAAAAAATAAGGGAAGGTTGAGCTATTGTAGAATGTTGATTCGGATTGACATGTCTAAGGAGCTCCCTACATCCTTTGTGGTCTCTCTTTCTGATGGAGAACAATTTACTCAAAAGGTTGTGTATGAAGGCCTTCCAAACTATTGCTATCATTGTAAAAAGTTTGGCCACAACCAATTGAGCTGTAGGGTTCTCCGAGCCCTAAACCACAGACAATCTGGGAATTATTTTGACAAGCGTGACAGGAACACCTTTGGGAAGGCTGACTTGGTTAGGAAAGGGGCTGATTCTGCCCTGGGTATTCCAGCCCCTGCCAAACCGAGAATAAGGAGGAGAAGAGCTAAGCGTAAGTTGGGACGTGGACCTAAGGCCTTGGGCAGTCATGCCATGCCCACCCCCACTGCGTTGCCTTCCCTAAAGGACACCATGAAGACGGCCAGGACTGAGGGTAATGGCACAGAACCTGCTGCCAAAACCGTGAACCATGATGGGCAGGGTGATGTTTGCTCTTCCACCACTATTCCGAAGGATTCTCTTGATCCTAGTGGTGCAACAAAGTCTACGGCCAAGGCTACTAAGAAAGTAGCACAAACAGATGCTAAAGTTTTGGGAGATGGAGCTCCAGCTTGATCGACTACTAGCCCAAGCAATGGGGAGAGTGGACAGATCAGATCATGGATTACATAAGCTAGCACCGGCCAAACTTCGGGAGCTCATTGCCTGCAACCCTCCTTGTTTGAGGGATGCCTATGGAGCTCTGGTGGATACTCTGGAGTATACGCACTGGGAAAGATCAATGAAAATGCTTGGACGAATCAAATAGTCTTGGCCTTATCTCTTTTCTAGTACTTGTTTGACATGACTTGTCTTTGATTTTTAGGGGTATGCCCCGATGCATTGGTTGTATGTCTTGTATGTACTCTTTGTATTGACTCTTGGATATTAATAATTTACATTTTATCCGTGAATATCATAAATACAAGAGAAATTCTTCTCAATACTATTCTTTCAAAGAAAAAAACATATGAGTGCCCAAATTAAGAATAGGAACAGAGACTAGATCTGTTTTCCTAAGCACTCAAGAGTCACAACTACCGCTCCCGGAGCTTGAGTCGTTCTTGTCCTCAACGCCGCTGCTCTCGGAGATTGTGTCATCACCGTCAGTGCTTGCGGAGGTTGTGTCATGGTCGCCGACACTCGTGGGGCATAGTTGTCGTTGGTGCTCCTGAGGTTGTGTCATGGTCGCTGCCACTCGTGGGGCAGGGCCGGTCCCGAGGATTCCATGGCCTTGGCCGAGACGGAAAAAAGGCCTAAAGGCCTTATTCCTAATGACTTAACGAATTAAAGTGTGTAAATAAATTGTATTTGAATTACAATTAATGTAATAATAATTTACTAAAATGAGTGAATCAAAATAATAGTAAAGGGTTCATATATACTTATATCCCCAAATCAATGTTTTGGAAATTGGTCCGGATGTCGATCTAGACGAGCTAGTGGGTCAAGGGTTAACTAGTTGAACCAGTCGACTCAGGGGTCAACAACTTGATCAATTATATTGAAATAAATTATATTATTACATTTTTTAATAAATAAATTTAATTTGTCTTTTTCATTCTTCCATCTAGTTTTTATATCATTTTGCATATTTCATCACACTTTCTATTTTCTATTTGTATTATTTATTACAATTAAAGATAAATAATGAATATCAAAGAAATATATACTAAAATAGTAAGGCAATACTATTATTTAAAATAAATAAAATCTAGGTAATGTGTTTTTAGATAATACTCTGTAATCTGTATTTAACTAACATTCCATACTTATATTTAGTTGATTGAAACAAGAAAAAGTAGAAGACAAGTTTAATTTTAATATATTAAAGTATAATTAATAAGCATTTCTTAATTTTTATTGATGAAAAAAATTTAATTTTTTTAAAAATTTTCTTAGGTATAAGTATTCATATTAATTTTTAGAAAAAAACATAAAAAGAAGTTATTTTTCTACTTGTGTTTCTTTTTTAAATAATTGAAAGTTTTATTAAAAGCAAGTCTGTTATATATCCTATTGGGTAACATATTTAACAACAAGATTAGTAGTTCAAGTGGATGAAGTGCCTTGTCCCTCGATGTAATATTCAGGTTCGAAACTTTAAACCTTCAAAATATACTTATATTTTTATATATATCATACAGTATTGATAAAATTTGTGCCCTTAAAATATTGGGCCCGGTTCGTTAAGGCTGCTCGGCCCACCATTGGGCCGGCCCTGTCGTGGGGCGTAGTCATCGTCAGTGCTCCTAGAAGCGGAGTCGTCACAGTCGCTCATAGTGGCGGAGTCATTGTCACCATTGCCACCGGCCTCTCTTGACGACAGTCATGCTGCCACCACCGCCGCTGGAGTTGGGTCGCCACCGCCACCAGAGACAAGGATGTCACTACCTAACTTTTCCGTGGCTCCACATATGTTACATCTGAAGAGATATCAAAATTCATATCTTTTTTACTCAGCAAACATACCCTTATTTTATTTTTTTATTCATTTTTATTGGACCAAATCCTCTCCAAATCTCAACAATTTTGTTTAATTCTTTGTGAGAAATAAATTAGTTTAATTTTGGTGAAAACGGGTCTTATTTTGCATTTCTTTTTAAAGAGGGACCTACATGGCATAGTATTCACGATCCTATGCTAAAGAGGAAAAGTCTACGAATGAAAATGATTTCCTAGGTCTAAAATTCAAACATTCACCTGTCGCCCCTTTGCCCTTCCACTAGAAAACAAATCTGTATTTTACTTTTTTTCTATCAAAATATGTTTACATTTCCAGGTAATTACTCACGGGTAAGACAGATTTTGTCGAAATAACTCTCAAATCTCCCGATTTTCAAAAGAACAACAGATGTTCTTACATTTTATTAATGATTAGGAGAGGACATTTCGTCTAATATTTCATTCATAAGCGTTAATAAATCTATTTCTTCCTATTTTTCCCTTAATGTTTTATGGTAATAATTCTTAAATCCCTCACTTTTTGGGTTCTTTGTTTTTCTTTTTTTGGTTACTCTTTTTTTAAAATTTTATTTTTAAAATTTCTTCTATAATATTGTATAAAAAACTCAAAATTTTTTGTATGATATAAACATAAATGAAATAAAAAATTTTCCTAAAAAAGAAAAGACAGAATAAAATTTAAAAAAAAATAAAGGAAAACTTTTTCCCTAGAAAGTCCTCAAGTTCTTATTTATGGAGTATTAAAAATAAAAAAGATCTAATTTTCTTTTTTGATAAGGTTTTATTTCATTTATTTTTATATCAATATAAAATTTTGAATTTTTGAAACTATTTTCTAGAAGAAATTTTTAAAAAAACTTTATAAAAAATGAAACAGTGAAAAAATAGATACAAAAAAACAAAGAAATTATGGGCAAAATAGGAAAAACATAATCGGTATCTATTAACACCAATAGATGAAGTATTGGACGGAATGTCACTTTCAAGTCATTACAACACAATTTAAGGATCTTGCTTTTTTGGAAATACAGAGACCTGAAAGTTGTTTCCACAAAATATGTGTTACCGGGGAGTAATTTTTTGTTTACGTTTCTCATATTTTTATTCTTAAGAATAGTTATGTAGTTCAAAATATTTGTCTAGTCTCAAGAACAAAACTTTCAATCATTTTTTAGTACACTTATAAAAACTTTGAAACTAGTATAAAAATTTTTACGTCAAATTCTAGTGGGCCATCAATAGCGGATCCAAGAAATGCAAGGATTGGGGCAAGAATAGGGCGGGGTTTGGGGATAGCGCCCCCGATTGTTTTTATTTTACCGAAAGATAATGTTAAATCACAAAAACAATGTTATATTTCATCTCAATATTATGAATTACTACACATTATTTAATTTACGACTAAGGGCTTGTTCTTTAGAGCTTGACTCTTAACTTTCATTTTCTTCCAGTTTCTTCCAGTTCTTCCAGTTCTTTCCAGTTTCTTCCAGTTTTTTCCGGTTCCTTCTAATTTCCTCTAACTATATTTATTTTTTTCAAATTCATTCCACTTTCTGACAAATTACTCTAAAAAATATATTATTATTATTATTATTATTATTATTATTATTATTATTATTATTATTATTATTATTACAACTTTTATGTTCATAAATATAGTTTATAAATTATTTCATTTTTTCATCTCACTATTTTTATGATTCGCATTCATTATTATTTTTTCTTCAACTTTTTAATATGAATAATACCTTTTTTTATTAATCTAAAACAAAATATTCTAATATATAAAACAAAATCTTGTAATATATAAAATATAATTACAAAATCTTGTAATATATAAAATGTAATTACAAATATTTTTTTTTATAATAAATACAACATAGCCATAATAACTCTTAAGTATTTAACATTTTGATATATATGCTAATTCTATATTCTAATTATTTTTTTAAACTAGGTTTTTATATATGAAAAATAATACGCGTAATATTTTTTTATATCTTAAAAACAATCATTAAGATAACGTGATGACACTACACTACCACCACCACCACCACCACCACCACCAACAACAACAATAATAATAATAACAACAACAATAATAATAATTTATAACAAGAATCAGAATGAGAATAATATAAAGCCAAACATAAAATTTTGTTTAAAACTTTTTTACATTTTTTAATTTTTTCTAGTTTTTTCAGTTTCTTTAATTTTTTCCAGTTTCTTCCAATTTATTCTAGTTTCTTCCAGTTTCTTCTAGTTCCTTCCAGTTTCTTCCAACATCCAGCTCTTTTTTTCCAGTCTTAAAGAACAGGCCCTAAGTGAATAAATGAATTTTAACAATCAAAGTTATACACAAATAAAGTACTAAACTAGTTTTCAATTAAAAATTAATTTAGTATACTTTGGTGTTTTTTTAAGTAAATGCGAAATGAAAAAGTTAATTGGGGTATTTTGGTTTCTTAATATACTTTGGTCTTTTTTTCTACATTAGTAGCTAGATTGAGAAAAATATATATGAACAGTTACTGCATTTTAACAGGGTTTACAAAGAAAAAAATCATTCTAACAGGGTTAATTACAAAAAATTAATGGTATAATAATTTTTAGGGAAGAGAGTCACTGTGTTTTTTTTTTGACAATTTTATTGGAAACAAACTTAACTTAAAATGTCAAACGATTAGGCGACCTTTCGGCCAGTCATTTTCAATAGGAAGAAGACAGCCGTTTGGTTTCATTATGCGCGGGCATGTGGTGATGGACTTATGGTTCTCGTTGAAATACTATTTGTGGAATGGTTTCCCTTGACATATCTACACCAATACCCCTATACTTTTTTTCTTCACACCATTTTAATTTGTTGTAAAAAAGAAATCATTGTTTCCCAACTTTGAGGAAATCTTTCTTTCAACCATTTCATCACCCGTGGCAGAAATAAATATTACTGGGGGCACCTTGAACAAAAAAAGACAATAGCAATATAGAAATTCGATGTTGGAGACCAAAGTTTTAGGGTCAAGATTTTCTTTGATACAATATGAAATGATAAAAAAGTGCTTGCTAATTCGAAAATCAACTTGGCGTTGCGATTTATGATGCAAGATTGTAAAGTCCTATTCCGGGAAAAAAACATGAAAGTTCTATTTTGATACTTTTCTCTATGTTTTAGTCTTATTTATGATGATTTCTAAATGGATAAAAGTAAAAAAAGATGATTTAATTTGAACTGCGAATAGTAAGTACAAAAATTTGTTTTAAAATAGAGGGAGTAAACAATTTCATCTCAAATAACCATTTAAGTAATTTAAAT